ACACCGGATGTTTCGGACCATCCGAATCTTTTATTTTCGCAGGGTAAAGTCCAATCGTAAAAATGTTCAGTCTCAAAAAGTATTCAATGAAAAATAATTTTATTAGGTGTACAACTTTGCTTCCGCCGTTTTTTTTTTCCGAAATTCGAGGCTTTATTGTAAAAAACTGGTTATACATTTATGATTCAAAGTATTGTCCATCGCTGGTCACTACTTTCTCCCATCTTTCGGGTAGCGTATGAATCCCGCGTCGAAAAAACTAGTCATCGTTTGAGGCTATCCACGAATCGATCCAATTTTTTACTTCTTCATAAAATCAGAAGTGCTGGTCAGCCAGGCCGTGTGCCATTGATCGAAACAAGTGATAGTCAGAGGGAACAGTGTCTGGAGAATACGGCGGGTGGGGTAGGACTTCCCATTTCAACGTTTCCAAGTATGTCTTGACCACTTTCGCAACATGGGGTCGAGCATTATCATGCTGCAAAATCACTTTGTCGTGTCTCTCGTATTGCGGCCGTTTGTCTTTCAATGCTCGGCTCTAACGCATCAATTGCGTTCGATACCGATCGCCTGTGATTGTTTCAGTCAGTTTTAACAGTTCATAATACACTACGCCGAGCTGGTCCCACCAAATACAGAGCATGACCTTGAACGTCAAAATCAATGTTCTTGAAGCGTTGAAACCACTCACGACACGTTCTTTCACTAATTCAGCTTCACCGCTAAGTATTTGAGAGCATTCGAGAAGCCTCAGCTGCAGATTTCTTCATATTGAAGCAAAAAATTAAAACCTCCCGCAAATGACGAGAATTTGGCTCGTAAACTGACATTTTCAATCGAAAAATAACTTTATGATGCAGACACAAATCGACTAATGTTTCTATGGGGTTATGTTGACAGATGCTCAAGTTTATTGTATGACGTCTATGATCTATTTATTTCGACCACCACTTACTACTAAAGCCATCTATAGGAAAACGGCGGAAGCAAAGTTGTACACCTAATAGTATTTCAAAAAACTCTCAATATCGGCTATTAAGTACTGGAATAAAAAGTTGGGTATTTCATTTTAAAAAATCGACGTGATCTTGATCTGACCTCGGCGACGCCACCTAAGATTCTTATCAAACTGCTAAATATAATAAATATAGTAAATAGATCTTAAATCCTACAATTTTTGTCAGAATATTTTTACGATTGAACCTTATCCTGTGAAGATAAAAGGATTGTACATATGGTCTGAAACACCCGGTATATATATAGAGTGTATATAAAGTATGAAAAGTACTTCATGCAAAATTATTTTATTATAGTGTTTTGGAAGCTCTCGAAATGAGCTATAAGAATATGTAATAAGAAATAGGAGGTTTAAAAAATTGAAGGCAACCTTCACGTAACCTTCAAAGGACTATCCAATATCAAATTAATGGCACCATCCCTTTTCGAGCCAAATGATTTTTGTCTGAAATATTTTTGTCGACTGGATTTAGTTTTCGAGATATTGGACTGGATTTAAAATAGGATATCGTATGTGCGTGCGTGCGTGTATATAATTTCAATTTTATTAATAATTTCAAAAAAAATGCTCTATGTATATATATATATA